TGGTTCTGTGGAATGCTTTGTCTGGCTCGCATCGCGAGCGATTTTGGGCATGCGGATTCTCAAAAAAACATCTCTGTGCGTGCGGCTGCAAAGGTCGCCATACGATGGACAGTATATTTCGCATTCTGGCATGGAGCTTCTCCCAACTGCTATGTGGTCGGTGGCCGAGTGTCCGTGACGACGGCACCCCGTTTTCACAAAGCTCGCGTCCTGGGGATAAATGGCGGCACACAATGGCGACGAAACAGAAGCACCTACGGTGTCGAGGCGGCTGCGTCCAGAAACGAGGCGACTGGTCTTGGTATAAAAGTGTACTCGGCTGCACTGGCTGGGGCGGGGAAGGGGAAGATAAACGATGTTGCTGGAAGTGCCTGGCAAACTTTGGTTCATTACCTTTTACAGACTTTTCAATGCAAGCTGCCTGGCGGCTCACATGTCTTTCGGATGCGCAGTACATTAAAGACAAATTCGATTTGGGTGGATATGTGTCTGCGCTCTTCGAGATCCCTGGTTTCAAGGCGTCGTACATCAGTGCCGACTTAATGCATACATCAGATTTGGGTGTTCTGCAATATATGATCGGATGTTGCATGTGGGAATTGTTCAAAGAAATGGGCGGTGTGATCGTTCGAGCACAAGAGACGCTCGCTGATTTAATGATTATGTTTAAACAGGCTTCCAAAATGATTCCAGGCATGGATCGCCCGCCAATGAACACTGTAACAATCACTATGCTGCAGGGGAAGCGCGGACCGCGCTTGAAAGCGAAGGCCGCCGAAACTCGCCACATGCTATTTTGTTTGGAAATAGTCCTGCGAGTTTTCTTCCCGACTGCAAATTACCCAGATGGCCCAAAAAGGGCCCACGCTGACTTGAGGTACAATTGTGTTCTTCACGCTACAAAGATGTACGAGGCGCTGGCTGTAGGTAAGCTTTCCGATAACTGGGCAGTGGTAGTTGCTGAGCACGGCCGTCGGATGCTCCTTCTGTATGCAGAGCTGTTCTTGGAAAGCATGCGCGTGCGAGGCGGCCACGCACAGGGATTCATGGTGTGGCGGTTGTACCCTAAATTCCATTTACTGCAGCACATCCTAGACGACCAGTTGGCGGTCACAGGGCATCCGATGGAATCGTGGTGCTACGCGGACGAAAGCGAGATAGGGGCGACGGCGTGCATGGCAGAAACGTTGCACCCCTCGACCTTACACCGAACTGTACTGGTGAAGTACAGGCTGTTGTGAGAGGAAAAATGATGCATGCCACCTCCTCCTCATCCTCTCCCTCCTCCTCCTGCTCCTCCTCTCCCTCGGGCAAGCGGGGGAGGGGCACGATCAGTCGAATATTATATCCCAGCCCTCTCGGGATCAGATCCGCCTCCCCCCTCTTGGGCATTCCCACGGCTCCGCCGACCCCCGCCCGACCAAACATATATGTGTTGTGCATACATACATTGCATACATATATACTTATACATATACCTATACATATACATATACATATACATATACAAATACATACAAACATACATATACAAATACATATATTATACATATACATACATATATAAATGTATGTATATTTACAACATATTTTGGTGGGTCCCACTAAAATTTTGGTGGACGCTGGAAAATTGGCGATCCACTAAGATTTTGCCAGTTCCGATGCTCGGGGTAGTTGTTCTGTAAAAACCGGCGTGGAGATCCCTCTGGCGGCGTCTGTGGCGCGACTGGAGGGGGGGGGCATGGGCCCCGAATCCGAGCCCGAGGCCGAGCCCGAGCCCGTGCTTTGAGCCCGAGCCGAAGGCCAGGTCGGAGCCCGACCCCGAGCCCGAGCCAGTGTCCAAGCGGAGGCCCCAGCCCAGGCTCGAGCACAAGTCGAAGCTCGAGCCCAAGCCTGAGCCCGGGCCCGGGCCGAAGCACGACCCAGGCCCGAGCGCCGAGCCCGAGCCCAGGCTGAAGCTCGAGGCCGAGCCCGATCCCGAGCCTGGGCCCGAGCCCAGAGCTCGAGCCTGAGCCCGAGGCGGAGCAAATTTTCGGAGGGGGGCGTTTTGTCGTTGCTTTCAGTGTGTGGCCCCGCAGGGGCTGCCGGGGATTTTTTTGTGAAAACCTGCCCGGAGGTCCCTGTGGCGATGCCGTTTGGGCTGCCTGGCGCCAGGGCCGCCGACGGCGACGACGACGGGGACGAGGCACTTTTCCTGTCTGGCCATATGCAGGCGCTGGACCGCCGAGGAGGCGTCTTGGGACCGTCTGGAGCCCTCTTGGCCCGTCTTGAGGCCCTCTGGGCCTCGTCGGTGGTCTTGGAGCGGTCTTGGGGACCTCTTGGGCCGTCTTGGAGCGCAGGGACGGCGAAAAGGGGAGAATGCGAAAAACATCGAAAAACACAATGGAAATCGACGATTTCTCCCGCTCGGGGCCCTGCTGGGAAGCCTCTTGGGGGGCCTCTTGGGGCATTTGGGCCGCCTCTGGGGCCGTCTTGGCCCAATCGTCGGCGTCTTGGGCCCATCTTGGGGCGTCCCGGAGCCCTCTGGGGCCGTCTTGGGGGCCTCTTGGAGCCCTCTTGGCGCGTCTTGGGCCTATCTTGGGGCGTCCCGGGGCACTCTGGGGCCGTCTTGGGGGGCCGTCTTGGGCTGTCTTGGGGCGTCTTGGGACCGTCTGGGGGCCCTCTTGGCCCGTCTTGAGGCCCTCTTGCGGGCCTCGTCGGTGGTCTTGGAGCGGTCTTGGGGACCTCTTGGGCCGTCTTGGAGCGCAGGGACGGCGAAAAGGGAGAATGCGAAAAACATCGAAAAACACAATGGAAATCGACGATTTCTCCCGCTCGGGGCCTTGCTGGGAAGCCTCTTGGGAGGCCTCTTGGGGCATTTTGGCCGCCTCTGGGGCCGTCTTGGCCCAATCTTCGGCGTCTTGGGCCCATCTTGAGGCGTCCCGGAGCCTTCTGGGGCCGTCTTGGGGGCCTCTTGAGGCCCTCTTGGCGCGTCTTGGGCCCATCTTGGGGCCTCCCGGGGCCCTCTGGGGCCGTCTTGGGGGCCTCTTGGGGCCCTCTTGGCGTGTCTTGGGCCTGCTACGCTTTTTGACCAGAATCGCCCTTCTCGCACGCGCGGGTCCCTGCATTGTAGTATAGACTGGGGCGAACCCGCGGACTTTGTCCACGTCATCTTGGGCCAGTCTTGGCTCGAAAACATCGTCTTGGGCCTGTCTTCGCTCGAAATGGCGAGAATAATTTCGTTTGCCGCGGCTCGTCTGGAGCGTCTTCGAGCGGTCTTGGGCCGTCTCGGAGGCCCTCTTGGACCGCTTCCTTCTCTTCGTCCGCCTTCCGCTCTACCTCCGCCTAGACAGCCTTCGGAGCGGCACAGACGGCTATGGTGGGTCTGCGGTGTACGTCTCGCCGCTTCAATTTTGAAAGCACCTGGGGCCTTGAAAAAAGTCACCCGGAGGGCTCTGGTGACGTTTTTCCGGTTGCCTCTTTGAAGCCTGATGGCGGGCGCGGCCGTCTCCTTGGGAACGGTAAGTGGGTCTCTCGGGGTTTCTTTTCGAGCTCCTGGGGGCCTGTTGGGGCCTCGTTGGCTGTCTTGCGGCCTCCTAGGGGCCTCTTGGGGACCTCTTGGGCCGTCTGGCGGCCTCTTGGGGCCTTTTCTCTTGAAGTTCTTTGGGGCGCCTCTGGGGCCAGCCCCGGACTGTCCCCCCGAGCCTCTTCCAGGGGACAGCCCAGGAAATCTATTCTGCTGGCGTGCTGTGCGTGCGTGCTCCTGTGTGAGAGGTCGGAAGGGTGTCCCGACGTCACCGCTTGCTCTTGAGAGCTGTGCCTGGGAGAGCTCTCTACGCTGCGTCTCGCTCTTGGGAGCCTTGGTGAGAAGAGCTTTGTACTTCACCGATCGCTCTTTTAGTGGGCGTCTCTGGGCCTGCTTGGTGGTCCTTGTAAGGGGGTCTTTTTCGGGCCATTCTGACGCTTTTGGGGGCTGCTCTGGGAGCGTGTTGGAACGTTTTGGGGCCTTTTTGGGGCCGTCACGGGGCGTCCGGGAGGCCTTGGACCGTCTTGGAGCTCTCTTAAGGCTGCCTGAGGCCGTCTTGGGAGCCTCTTGGGGCCCCCTCGGAGCTCTCTTGGGGCCGTCTTGGGGTTCTGTGAGGCCGTTTCAGGGCTCTCTGGCGCCGTCTTGGGGCTCTTGTGGGCCGTCTTGGAGCCCTCTTAGGGGCCGTTGGCGTCTTCTTGGAGCGATTTGGGAGGCCTCTGGGCGTGTCCTGGGCCGCTGAGGAGCACACAAGGCGGGGATGCTGAAAACATACATTTTCCCATCGGAAGTTGACGATTTGTGCCTCTTTGGCGTGCGCTCGGGACCCTCTTGGGGCGTCTTTGCGGCCTCTTGGATCGTAAAGGGCAACCCCTGGAAGGCTTTGGGCCCTCGTGGGCCGTCTCGGGACCCACTGAGGCCGTCTTGGGGCGCTCTTGGACGGTCTGGGAACCCTCTGGAGCGCCTCTGGGACCGGCCTGAGCGATTCGGCCCCGTGGTGGCGTAAAGGGGCGATTTTGTGCACACGAGGCCCTGTGAACCCTTCCCGCACGCAGATCCAGTGGCCATGTAGGAGAGACGAGTGGCGTATCCTGTAAAGCGCTTGGGTCTCTCTTCGGAGGCTCTTGAGGGGTCCTTATGGGGCTCTTTTGGGCCGTTTGAGTGCTCTCTTGGGCCATCCTGGGGCCTTCTTGGGCGGTCTGACAGGGCTCGGCCCGTCTAGGGGCCCCCTTGGAGCCTTCTTGGGCTCTCTTGGGTGCCTCCTGTGGCCCACTCGGGGCTATCTTGGGAGCCTCTTGGGGCGCTCTCGGGTCCCTCTTGGGCCCGTCTGGGGGCTCTCCGGGGCCGTCATGGGACTCTCTTGGCCCGTCTTGGAGTTCTCTTGGGGGCATCTTGGGCCGTGTTGGGGCGGTCGTGGGGGGTCGCTTCGGCCATCTGGAACCGCTGCGCGATCGGCCGATTCGGACATCCGCGAGCGGTGGTCTGGGCGTTGTAGGAGAGATGACGTCGGGTTCCAGCTTCGCCTCCAACATCTCGCTCAGCAGCGCCAGCGCCCGCTGCCACTGCTCGCCCTTCTCGCACGCGCTGACCCCAGCGCTATAGCTGATGACATTGGGCTCCAGCTTCGCCTTTCCCATCTCGCTCAGCAACGCCAGCGCAGGCTGCCACTGCCCGGCCTTCTCGCACGCGCTGATCCCAGCATTGTAGCTGACTAGGGCTGACCCGTGGACTCCGTCCACGACATCTTTCTGGAATAGTTTTCGGGGGAACGGCGCAGATTGTACCGAAAATCTACAAACACGGCGGCGGTTCCGACAGAGGCGCTGTGATGGGCGGAGACCAGGGCTGAGCGCTCGGGCCCCTGAAAGGGGAAGGCACTAAGGGAATGCAATCGGAGCCCTGTTGAAAAGATAAGGGACAATGACGACGACGGCGGCGACGACGACGGCGGCGGCGAGAACGACAAGGAGAACGACGGCGACGACATCGACCACGACGGCGACGCCGAACACGACGACGACGACGACGAAGACGATGACGACGACGACGACGACGACGACGACGACGACGACGACGACGACGACGACGACGACGACGACGACGACGATAACGACGACGAGCGGTCTTGAGGGCCCCTCGGGGGCACTTTTTGGCTGCACCGGGGGAGCGCCCATGGAACAGGTATCCCGCCACATTTTTCAAAGGAAAATGTTGCGGGATACGTGTTTTTTCGGCTTGGATTCTGGCCCAGTCCGGCCCCGCGGATTCCTGGTTTCTGCCGTCTTGGCGGCCCCAACTGCGGGGACGACGACGACGCAGACGACGACGACGCCGACGACGACGACGGCGACGACGCCGACGACAACGTTGGCGGCGGCGGCAGCGACGACGACGACGACGACGACGACGACGACGACGGCGGCGGCGAGAACGACAAGGAGAACGACGGCGACGACATCGACGACGACGGCGACGCCGAACACGACGACGACGACGAAGACGAGGAGGTGAACGACGACGATGGGGATGTCGACGACGACCTCGTGCGGACCACTTCCGCCTCGGAGTGGCCACATGCGCAGTGAGCCTGGACCACGTCCGAAGGACTGGCTTCTCGTCCTGAGTCGTGTGTTGACGGCCCCGGGGCCCAAGAGCGACCTCGGGAGGGCGAAAGCCAGAAGAACATCTGTCATGTTTGACGGTCCCGGGGGGGGGAGGCTCGCGCGGCGGCTCTTGGCGGGGAGAGCGGGAGCAGCGGGAGCAGCCACGGCGACGATGGCAAGCACGGGTGAAAACAACAGCGGCCGGAGCAGCAGAGGCGCGAGGCGCGCCTGCGCTAGTGGTCCACCTAGCCGATCATCATGTAGCTCTTCCTCGGGCGAACCCGTGGTCCGGGCCTCGGCGTAAAGGGCTGGTTACGTCACCGCTCGCTCTGGGGAGCTGTGGATTTCAGAGATCTTGACGTTTCGGCTCGCTCTTGGGAGCCTCCGTTTGAGGAGCGCGTCACGGAGGACCTCGAGCGTGGAGCCTGGAGGATCCAAGTTCGGAGGTCCGACGGCGCTCCCCATCAGACAAACATCTGAATCCCTGGGAGCGTCGAAAACGGCTCTTCTGTGCCCGCGAAATGCCTGTCGCCTCTTGTCCGCTCACCCCCTCGTGAAGGCACTTCTGAAGCCACTTAGGGCCTCGTGGGGGTCCTTTCGGGGGGTTTCTTTTGGGTCTCCTGGGGGGCTCTCAGGGCTCTCTTGGGCCGTCTTGGGTGCCTCTTGGGCCGTCTTGGGGCCGTCTGAAGCCGGCTTCGGCGCCTCTTGGGCTGTCTTGGGCCGTCTTGGGCCGCTCCTGGGGCCGTCTTGGGTGCCTCTTGGCCCGTCTTGGGCGCCTCCTGGGCCGTCCTGGGGCCGTCCTGGGCCGCCTTGGGGCCGTCTTGGGGCCCTCTTGGCCCGTTTGGGGGCTCTCTCGGGGTCCTCTTCGGCCGTCTTGAAGCGGTCTGGGGGACCTCTTGGGCCGTCTTGGAGCGTCGGGAAGCCGAAAAGGCGAGGAGGCCGAAACCATTGAAAAACACAATGGACATCGACGGTTTCTGCCGCTCGGGGCCCTCTTGGGAGGCCTCTTGGGAAGCCTCTTGGGGCGTCTTGGAGGCTTCTTGGGCCGTCTTGGGCCAATCTTGAGCGTCTTGGGCCCATTTTGGGGCGTGCCGGGGCCCTCCGGAGCCGTCTTGGGGGCCTCTCGGGGCCCCCTTTGGCGCGTCTTGGGGCCTCCCGGGGCGGCCCCAGGCGGCCCGGGGCCAGCCCGGGGCGATTATTGGTTAATGGAGCCTGCGCCCTTCTGGTATGCACTAGGCCCTGCAATGTAGTAGAGATGATGTTCGGCTCCAGCTTCGCCTCCCGCATCTCGCTGAGCACCGCCAGCGCCCGCTGCCACTGCTCGCCCTTCTCGCACGCGCTGGCCCCAGCGCTATAGCTGATGACATTGGGCTCCAGCTTCGCCTCCCACATCTCGCTCAGCAGCGCCAGCGCCCACTGCCACTGCTCGCCCTTCTCGCACGCGCTGATCCCAGCATTGTAGCTGACTAGGGCAGACCTGTGGACTCCGTCCACGACATCAGCTCGACGTGGCGAGGGGTCTCTGGGCAAGCGCGGCGTGCCTGTCGCCTCTCGTCCGCTCCCCCGCTCCTGGAGGGAATTCTGAAGCCACTGAAGGCTTCGTGGGGGCCGTTTCGGAGCCTCTTCGGCCTTCTTTTGGGCCTCCCGGGGGGGCTCTTAGGGCCCTCTCGGGCCGTCTTGGGTGCCTCTTGGGCCGTCTTGGGGCCGTCTGAGGCCCGCCTCGGCGCCTCTTGGGCTGTCTTGGGCCGTCTTGGGCCGCTCCTGGGGCCGTCTTGGGTGCCTCTTGGGCCGTCTTGGGCGCCTCCTGGGCCGTCCTGGGGCCGTCCTGGGGCGTCTTGGGACCGTCTTGGGGCCCTCCTGGCCCGTCTTGGGGCTCTCTTGGGGTCCTCTTCGGCCGTCTTGGAGCGGTCGGGGGGACTTCTTGGGCCGTCTTGGAGCGTCGGGAAGCCGAAGAGGCGAGGAGGCCGAAAACATAGAAAAACACAATAGAAATCGACGATTTCTGTCGCTCGGGGCCCTCTTGGGAGGCCTCTTGGGAGGCCTCTTCGGGCGTCTTGGACGCCTCTTGGGCCGTCTGGGGCGAATCTCGGGCGTCTTGGGCCCATCTTTAAGCGTGCCGGGGCTCTCCGGGGCCGTCTTGGGGGCTTCTGGGGGCCCTCTCGACATGTCCTGGAGCCTGCCTGGGCGGCCCGGGGCGGCCCGGGGCCAGCCCGGGGCGGTTTTGGTGCATTGGGGCCTGCGCCCTTCTGGCACGCACTGGGCCCTGCAATGTAGTAGAGACTAGGGCTGACCCGTGGACTCCGTCCACGACATCTTTCTGGAATGGTTCTCGGAGGAACGGCGCAGATTGTACCGAAAATCTACAAACACGGCGGCGGCTCGGGCGGCGGCAGCGAGACCGCGCCTTCGTGTCCGAGCTCTTGCAGCGCTGCAGCAGCTTGGCCCAGCGCACTGCTCGTTCACCCCCCTCCTATTGAGGACAGTTTCGAAGTCTCTCGGGGATGTGCGTCGAAGTCGAAGCCCATCTGAGGCGTCTCAGGAGCGCTCGGGGAAGGGCTCGGGAGGCCATCGGGGAAAGCCACCGAAAGCGCCTGGGAGGCTCGCAAGGATCTACAGGGAGGGCCCAAGAGAGCTTCAAGAAAATTTGAAATCCAGCGAACTGTTAAGAGAAACCGCTGTTGGGTCGGCCATCACCTCCGGGCGCGCCTTGATGGTGCGATCCAGTCGCATCACCGCCAACGGGAGGGTTTGTTCGCCATGTCCCATTCTGTTCGCCCAGAGGGTCTGTGGTCTGTGGAGGCCTTCGGGCGAACAGAACGGGACAGGGCAAGGAATGGGGAAGACATGTCCGAATCTCCTGGGCCCCCCAGATGCTCGTCCGAAGAATGCGGAGAGGTCCCAGGGTCATATCAATTGGCTGCTGTCCCAGGGGTCCGGTCTGCTTGGCCCGAAGAGTTTGCCAAGGCCCCTGGGGGAACAGAATGGCACAGCATATCGGGCAAAGGGGGGCGGTAGCTGGCCTGTCAGACCCGGCGTTCGTCTTCTGCCCAAGCGGCGCGGGGCCCACGGGCCCCAGGGTTGGAGTCCCGCTAGGATTCCTCTTGTTCGCCCACAGGGTTGGAGGAGGCCTCCAGGCGAACAGAATGGGGCAGGACAATGAATGTGGCAAACTTGTCGCAAGCTCCCAGCCCCCCCAAGTGTGCGCCGAAGGGTGTGGGGCCGCGTTGGCTCCCTCAAAGGGCCGTCCTGGAGCCGTTTAGGCCCGTCTTGAGGGCGCCGTTTGCCCTGATGGGGCCGTCTTGGTTCGTCGTGGGCCCCTCATGGGCGCGTCCGTAGGCCGTCCTGGGCCCATCGGGGTCCTCGTGGGGCTGTCTTGGAGCCGTCTGGGACCGTGAGGAGGCCGCCTTGGAGTCGTCTTGGGCCCCTCCTGTGCGCCTCCTTGGGCCGTCCTGGGCCCAGCAGGGGCCGTGTTGGCACCCTCTTGGGGCTGTCTTGGAGCCGTCTTGAGCCGTCGCAGCGCGCCTTGGGTTGTGCTGGGTCCGTCTTGGCCCGTCTTGGGGCCTTCCTGGGCGGTTCCTCGGACCCTCCTGGGACTTTCTGGGGCCTCTTGGTGCATCGGACCGCCGAAACGGCGGGAAACGCAAAGGGTGTAACAGTAAACAATGGAAAATTAACGATTTTTGCCAGCTGGGACTCTCTTGCCATCTTGGCCCGTCTTGAGGCCCCGAACGGGCGCGTCCTTGGGCCGTCCTGGGCGCACCCTCCTGGGACCGTCTTGGAATCGTCTTGGGCCGTCTTGAGCGCGCCTTGGGCCGTCCTGGGCCGGTCTGGGGCCGTGTTGGCACCCTCGCGGCGAGGAAGCTCGGAGGCGGGCTCGAGGCCTCTTCGGGGCCATTTTGGAAGCTGTTGGGGCCTCTGTAGGGGCCTCGTTTGGGCTCCTTGGGAGCCTCCTGGGGCCTCTTCGGGGGATTCTTGGCGGCCCCTTGGGGCCTCTTGGGGGCCTGTTTGGGCCTCCTGGCGCCCTCTTGGGGCGGAAGGCTCGGATTTTCGGTCCGTGGTCCCCCTCTTGGCCCTCTCTTGGGTCTGTCTTCGGGCCCTCGTGGGCCGTCTTGAGCGTCTCTTGGGTCGCCTTGGGGCCCTCTTGGGCTGTCTTGGGGCGCTCTTGGAAACCTTTTAGGCCGTTCTGGGGCGCTCTTGGAGGCCTCATGGGCCGCCTTCGAGCGTCGGAAAGCGGAAAAGGCGAGAAGGCCAAAATCCTTCCAAAACCGTCGTAAAGCGGACGATTTTGAGGCCCCAAACCGTCCAAAACCTCCTGAGGCGGTCCCCTCGTCCGCCCCCCTCGCTTCGAAGCAGTGTTTAAGCCCCGTGGCACCTCTTGGGGATCTCTTTTGGGCTCCTGGGGGCCTCTTTGGGCCTCCACTGGATTCGCTGCCCTCGGTCGGCAATCGTCGATCCTACGACGACTCTCCCCAACAGAGAAACATCGAAGGCCCTCGGAGCGTCCAACATTGTTCTTTTGTGCCTTCGATATGCCGGTCGCCTCTCGTCCGCTCCCCCCCTCCTGGAAGCAATTCTGAGGCCACGTAGGGCTTCGTGGGGGCCGTTTGGGGATCTCTTGGGGCGTTTTTGCCTGCGATATGCCTGTCGCCTCTCGTCCGCTCCCCCGCTCCTGGAGGGAATTCTGAAGCCACTGAAGGCTTCGTGGGGGCCGTTTCGGAGCCTCTTCGGCCTTCTTTTGGGCCCTGGGGGGGTCTCAGGGCCCTCTCGGGCCGTCTTGGGTGCCTCTTGGGCCGTCTTGGGGCCGTCTGAGGCCCGCCTCGGCGCCTCTTGGGCTGTCTTGGGCCGTCTTGGGCCGCTCCTGGGGCCGTCTTGGGTGCCTCTTGGGCCGTCTGGGGCGCCTCCTGGGCCGTCCTGGGGCCGTCCTGGGGCGTCTTGGGACCGTCTTGGGGCCCTCCTGGCCCGTCTTGGGGCTCTCTTGGGGTCCTCTTCGGCCGTCTTGGAGCGGTCGGGGGGACTTCTTGGGCCGTCTTGGAGCGTCGGGAAGCCGAAGAGGCGAGGAGGCCGAAAACATCGAAAAACACAATAGAAATCGACGATTTCTGTCGCTCGGGGCCCTCTTGGGAGGCCTCTTGGGAGGCCTCTTCGGGCGTCTTGGACGCCTCTTGGGCCGTCTGGGGCGAATCTCGGGCGTCTTGGGCCCATCTTTAAGCGTGCCGGGGCTCTCCGGGGCCGTCTTGGGGGCTTCTGGGGGCCCTCTCGACATGTCCTGGAGCCTGCCTGGGCGGCCCGGGGCGGCCCGGGGCCAGCCCGGGGCGGTTTCGGTGCATTGGGGCCTGCGCCATTCTGGCACGCACTGGGCCCTGCAATGTAGTAGAGACTAGGGCTGACCCGTGGACCCCGTCCACGACATCTGGCCGAGAACATTCTTGGGGGAGCTACTCTCTGCGAAAACGTTCTTCTCGCTGCCTGGCGCGCAGCGCGTCCAACAGCTGCTGGGCGTCTCATCGCGTCCGACCAGGTGTGCGCGCAGCGACCCAGGTTCGGAAGGCCGGAACATTGGGCCAAAAGGTCTGACACAACGGAGGAGGCTCGTGGGGGGGGGGGCACCGGACGTGGCCATTTATAACAGCTGGACCGCTTGAGCCCGCGATGTTCTGGAAGGCGAAGGCTCCGAGGTAATGGCAAGATGCCTGGAGGAGAGCGTGGATTCGACGGGGCGCCCGAGCGGCGCGAATGGCCAAGATGGCTCAAGATGGCGTTCAAAGCGGTGAGAACGGCGAATGCTGCCCAAGATGTCCGGGGTCCGAGCGGCGCGAATGGCCAAGACGGTCCAAGATGGCTCTCACAAGGCCTCCGAGGGCCACTATCGCTTACTGTAGGCTCGCTCTGGGCGCCAAAGGGCCCTGCGGACCATTTTTCTAAGAAAAAGTGCTTGCAGACCCCTTTGGGGGCCACTTGACATGGCACGGTGACGTTTTCGTGTCGTGACGGCTCCGGTGGGTTGCACGCGCGGCTGACAGCTGGACCGTTTGAGCCCGCGAGGCTCTGGAAGGCGAAGGCTCCGAGGTGATGGCAAGATGCCTGGAGGAGAGCGTGGATTCGACGGGGCGCCCGAGCGGTGCGAATGGCCAAGATGGCTCAAGATGGCGTTCAGAGCGGTGAGAACGGCGAATGCTGCCCAAGATGTCGGGGGTCCGAGCGGCGCGAATGGCCAAGACGGTCCAAGATGGCTCTCCCTCCGAGGGCCACTATCGCATACTGTAGGCTCGCTCTGGGCGCCAAAGGGCCCTGCGGACATTTTTCTAAGAAAAAGTGCTTGCAGATCCCTTTGGGGGCCACTTGACATGGCATGGTGACGTTTTCGTGTCGTGACGGCTCTGGTGGGTTGCGTGCGCGGCTGACAGCTGGGCC